ATGAAAGGTCAGAATAAAGGTGAAACTAGGATTCAAACCTACGGTGTATCCTGCCAGCTAAAGAACACAGTGTTGTGGCGCCTCATGCCACATGGCCACTTGTGCTCAAAGAACCACAGAAACAGAATTATCAAATATCCATGTAACAAAAATCAATCAAGTAATGGGAGATTTCAGCTTATTGCTTTTCAGAAAAAAAAAAGGAAATTTATGATGTTGGCAAAAATCCATGGATGTTTAGAACTCATTTGGGCCCATAAAGTTTGTAAGAGACACTAAAATGTAAAAAGTCCTGCATGTTGTAATATATCAGACTGCATATTCCTGGTTGATATATGAGTGACGGTCAGAGAATAGTTGTATGCAGCTTTTGGCAATATCATGGTCAGAAAGGGCCTTTACAGATTGTACACGTTGGGAATCGAATCTAGGCCTTTCATGCGATAACTGAACTACTTTAATTGCTAGAAAATGTTAAGTTTAAAAAGCAAGAAACTTGTAGGACATCAAACAAGAAAGCCTTGTGCCCCAAGGTAGCTTAGAACAAAGTTATATGTTTTTTTCTCAGCTGATGTTAAACTTTCTTTTCCAGAATACATATTAAAGTGTGACTCATAAAGTGTCCTAATACTTCCTAAACTGGCATGACAAGTTGTCATCACTTGTAATTCTGGATCAGAATCTGGCAACAGCATCCTCATCACAAGAACAGACTGGAATCGAGATTGGGCGGTTACAGTGTGAATTGGCTGATTCATGTGTCATCTCACCCAGACAATGTGGACCATTGCTACAACCAGATATTGCCCAGCCGGGCTTAAAAGGCTGCCATGCTTAGACTCTGTAGAGTAGTATATCTGGCTGATCTGGTGGTACAACATTCACTCGGTGTTTTCAAACTGATATTGGCATGCAAACAGACCACTGCTCATGTTATAATGACTCCAACCTTGTGTTGACCTTGACCGTACTGAGTTCTTGATACTGCATATTTTCAGGAATAGTCCCAAGTCAGATACAAACTCTTTTACACAGATAACTAAACTTGACCAGGGTGCCATTGTACAAAGCGATCTTAGCACTAAGGTGACCGTAACTCCCACACCTTAACATGGACTTAATGTAGTCTTAACGCTAAGGTTGTTTTGTACAACAGCACCCAGGGTGCCATTGTACAAAGCGATCTTAGCGCTAAGGTGACCGTAACTCCCACACCTTAACATGGACTTAAGGTAGCCTTAGCGCTAAGGTTGTTTTGTACAACAGCACCTAGGGTGCCATTGTACAAAGCAACCTTAGTGCTATGCCAGTCGTAAGTCTATGTTAAGGAATGGGAGTTACGTTCACCTTAGCTCTAAGATTTCTTTGTACAACAGCACACAGGATTCCAACCCATGGTTGCATGTTTCTGACACATCCAGTGATGAAGCTCTGTACAATGATTTCTGGTGGCAGCTACAACATGGACGCCTAGGCCTCCTCTGGGAAAGAAGGGATTGAAGCCTCCCAGCAGCTGGGGAGGTCATACAACATTTTCTACAGCATAGTACACACTTTGTTTTAAAAAAAACTCAGCTGTGTAGATGTGTGCATGCATAATACACAGCATAATGAGTTTTCATGTTTTTTTAAGAGAATTAACAATGGAAATACTGTTTCTACACATCCTTACTGACGTTAGCAAAATTAATCCTGTTATCACATGATCTGGCCACAAAAAGTGTTCATTGTATATTTGGACTTAAATATTTTGTTTTCATTAATTTGAATAATTTCACAAAAATGATGTATTTAGTGATGGGCACATTATTTACAGCAACTACAACCCGATCACCACTACTGATGCCTTGACACATACTTCATCAACAGAGTCATACATCATACATTTGACTTGTTGGAAGTGATGCTTGTTGTAGTTTGACTGTCATCAACAAAATCTTCCTGAAACTGAAGGAGCAAGATAGCAGGAAACCTCAATGGTGACTGTTCTAACTTTTTCATAACTTAAAACATCTGGCTGTAGCAATCAGCTACAGTTAAGTGTAACACTTACAGTTATAACTATCTTAAATGTACATAATAAATGCTGCAACCAAATTAACACAATATTGGAATATACTACTTCTGATAATAGTTTCAAGTACAATTCTTCCAAAACTCTCTGAAGTCGTATTATTGGTAAACTGAATCACTTGTCAAAAGGAAGGCGAGAAGCGATGAGTCTATTTGCTATTTCCGACTTAATTTACAAGAAAAAAAACCCCTCTAATCTTAATTTCTGCACACAAAGCAATGCCTAGAACCACAAATACAATTTTAAATGGTAAATCATTATTTCTTTGAGAGGTATTATAAGTTGTAAAGATGAAGGAAAACCATGTTCTATGTATGGTCAACTTCTTTAATGCAATGATTGTACATTTTGGTGTAGATCCTCACAACATTATCAAGCATCACTTGCCTGACAACGGTGTTAGCATCTACACCCAAATGTCGCATTCATTGCAATAAAGAAGTTGATTATCCATAAAACTTGGTCAATCATTATGTCTAGTGGTGTTTTATCTCAAATTTCACATTATGTATTGACAAAGTTTGGTGTCACCTGTTTTTTTTACCTGAATTCACTGAAGGGATCTGAAGTGCATTTTTAATGTGCATAAAACATTGAATCCCCTTGAGGGAGCGTGCTTCATGCTTAGGTGAGTAATAAAGTGGAGAAATATGGCATATGTGGGATATGATGTATTAACGCTATATACGGTTCCCTGATCTCATGAATTATTGACGACACTACACAGATGTGACAACAGATCTGCTGCTATCAACAACAACATTTATAAATACCATTTACACCATGTTTCCTGAGCCAGCATTTAGAGATATGTTTATTCCCGTAATGAGATGCTCTGATTCTGGCTTTCTGTTTCAAGGTAATGGTTTCCACATTATATTGTATGAGTGAGGTATATAACAATCCCTTTTGTAGTTCATATCTGTCACACAATACTGATGTCTGAGTGAGTGAAGAGGTTCGGTTTATGGCAACAGTGTTCAGTTAGTTTCCTGGAACCTTAGGGATACAAACTTGTTGACCCTTTTTGTGTCTTTGACCCCAGTCCAGGGGGTCAGGTGAGTGGGTGTGTGGCATGCATGAGCGAGTGAGTGAGTGAGTGAGAGTGATAGAGTGAGTGAGTGAGTGAGTGCCTAGCGTGGCAAGGGGTAGTGGATGACAGTCAATTTCTATCAGCAATGTTTCAGTGAGTGAGTTAAGATTTAAAGTAACATCAGCAATATTTCAGCCATATCATGACAGCAATGTTTCAGCTATTAAAGGACACTATTTAGGGATACAAACATAGGTTGCTTGAAAATTGTGTTTTAAACTGGATATTATCAAAGACAGCATGTATTTCTCATGTACAATATGCTCTGCAAGAAGTACCCAGGGGCTTACAGAAATGCTTATTAATAACAAACGTAAGTCAAACTAGTTTTCAGACATTGCGAAGTATTGACCAAATTTCATCAGAATGTGAATGAAACTAATATATTTTGGATAATAATTCCCAGGAAATGATATACCCATCTTTGCTGTTTTCTTCGCATCCAAGAAAAGAATTGATTTAATACATAACAATAAAATTACTTACAGAATGGTCAACGTTTCATCAGGGGTAGTTTATTGGATCGGGAGTCTGAATACGATAGCCATAATGCCTCTACCCGTATAAAGTGGAATCTGTCAAAACTGGATTCTGACGAATAAGGATCTGTATCAATATCAGACCTAACTTACAGTCCCTAATTCATCCTCTTAACTAATCATCAAGAAACATCAGATTAGTCTCATCTGGACATCCTTCACTCCAGATTATAGACTTAACTTGTGGGACACAGGAATAATAATCCCCAAATGATGCTCTCTAATCCAGATTAACTTGTCACACAGCTCACTCACACATCATCTGCAAGCTGTTCTCATCAATAAACTGTGACAAACTATTTGGTACTGCTAGACATAGCATTGTACAAGCTCTTTGAACAATCTTTGCTAGCTGGCCAATCCTGATAAATATGCAACAACAACCAATGCTTCACAAGAAGCATGGCCAGTCACTAAACTTCAGTCGTGTTTCCAACTAATACTTTGAGTAAATATTTACAATTTTCACAAAACATGAGTTAGAAGGGATGCATTATGAGAATGATCAATAGTCAGGGCGGATGCTTCTTTCAGCTAATTTGTAAACACCATAAACACACGGAGCTGACGCTGGAGAAATATGGAATGCCTTTTCTCTTTGAACCTGTACGTTCATACCACGTAAACACAGGAAACATCTTCTGCTACATCTCACTAATCTGGACTGCTGTCATGTATGGGGCCAATAGTCCAGATTAGACAGAATCCACTCTACCTGTGCTTAACACAATCACTTGTGGGAATACATCTTTCTTAATTATTAATACATTCATCTGAAAGTATACACACATAAACAAATGTTTGGGACAGATCCTGAAAATGTGCCTGAAATATATATTCCACCAATTTGGCTTCTACAGAAGCCTAACTCCCTTCCAAAATGTCAGCCTAGTTATCAAGCCTTATTACACAGAGATGCTGGTTGATAATGCCAGTTGATTGATCACAAGTCTTAATGTCACACTCACAAACAAAACAATTACATTAGAGTAACATGAATCAGGATATCATAGTGACTGTTTCATCTACTTCAGCATGAGCATCAAACTACACAATTGAAATACGACGACATGTGTCAACCAAGTCTGACCACCCAATCCCGTTGGTCACCTCTTACGACAAGCATGGGTTACTGAAGACCAATTCTAACCTGGATCTTCACGGGTAATTTCCAGTATTTGGGTACACCAGGAATGAGAACCAATGTGCTGCCCATGTTAAGGTTAGAGTAGCACAATACCCGCGTGGCTACCCTACCACCAACCAGGCTCAAGGAATGGGAAAGAAGTGTTACCTTGGTGACATTGTTGATAAACACTTCTCTAGGCTCTTCCCCCGTGGCATCAACAACCTCAAACTCATCCCCAAAGTCAACGAAGACACTGCCAAACACTCCATACACATCAGACGAGATGAACTGAAATTGAACACAATCAAACAAAGTGAATGTCTATTTTCTTTAAACAAATGTGAAGATCTAATGAATGTTGACCTAAAAGGCAACTCCAGTCAAATAACAAATGTTCTACTATAGCTAAAAAAGTTCTGTACCAAAGAAGAATATGACAATAGGACATGGTCTTTCCCCAGTATCAGTAAAGAGAATACAGGACACAGTAATTGCTATCTAATTGTCAAATGAATGGGTTGACCTTGATTTGATCAACTGAAAGTTATTTTCATCCTTCATTTGGACTAACATGTCCACTGGTGCAAGTAAGAAAAACTACACTCACATGAATCTGAGGAGACTGTTCCCGACAGAACTTGTTGACTCTCACTTGAACAGCCAGCGGGCACTCTGTGAGGATGATGCACTGAAAAAGCATAACGAATATATGTGAAAACACACGAGAGCTGTCCCTCAACTCCCTGCACATACCTGGGGTAGAACTGAACAGAAACTGCATTTCTATTGCTGAAACTGTAGAATACTCCCATCCAGGCATTCTTATGTCTACTGTGATACCAACCTGGTTTGGAAACAGAGAAGTGTACTCAGGGAATTGAAATGGAGAAGGGATTTATGTTTTGATTTTAGTTTTATGCCACTTTCAACAATATTCCAGCATTATTATGGCGGGAAGACCAGAAATGGGGGAATTGAACCTGGGTCTTCAGCATGACGAGCGAGAGCTTTAACCGATAGGCTACCCTACTGCCCCAATGCTACTTGAAGAGTATTTCTGACATATGAACGAGTGACAGCATATTGAAGGAGGAAGACCCACAGTTTCATGCTGCAATTCCAATACAAGAGTGACGCTGTGGCAGCCTAGGTGAGTCTGAGGTTTGCATCAACAAGCAGATCCTGATAGGCAAGGGACACAACTCTGTACTGTGCGTGCCAGGTCAAGCTGATACTCGTACAATATGTGGGATGTCAAGTGACAAGTAGACAAACAGTTGTTCCTGTGAAGGAGCATAATTACCATACTTAGCATCCTCAATGATATCATACTGTGTGAGCACAGTTTACCAAGAGATATCATTACCAAAGTACAGTTTACAAAGAGATATCATAATGATCATGACTACCGTAAAGTTTGTGATATCATTAAAGCCATGAAAACAGTCAAAATGGCCATCACCACACATACAGTTCATGTACTGATATCAGAATGGCCATTACTACGATTCATGCAATGATATAACATTGGCCATCACTACAGTTTGTTATCATATACTAGCCACATAAAGAAACTGTGCATTGTTAAAATATGATCCCAGTTGATAAGTAAGATAACAATGTCAAAGGTACATATAAACTTTAAGGATCATGAGACCATAACAAGTCGGGAGAATTTCAATTGAAAAGTCAATCACAATGACGTCACGAGTCCACAAGCGGGACAGGGGTCAAACGACCTTGTCACAAGCTCAATAATGTGTATGTCCACCATCAGCATTGAGAACAGCAGTGCATCGACAACGCATAGAGCCTATCAAACGAGCCTCAAGAACGAACCCACTGACGTCACGGAACGGGGCACGTGCATGCATGTTGGATACATGTCACTAATCTCTGAGTTTAAATCCTTATGTGTCTACACAGGTTTGATAAATTTAGATTTTAAATTTTTGTATGCACAGTTTCTTTATGTGCCTAGTATAGTTATAATTGGTATCACAATAACCATCATCATAGTCTAATCAATGATATCATGATAACCAGTTGCACTGACATCAACACTGCAGAGCATAATTCACTTATGTTATAACAACCCAACCAGTCTAAAGAGCTACTTTTCACCAGACTTATCAACTGATCATTAAGTGACCTGGCGTGTTTTACAAAGTGACTCATCTCCACAAAATGCTAATTACGACACAGCCACTATCAACAAGGTCAGTAAAGGACAGCAGTATCAGTTATCAAGGACTGATCCAGTACCAGGCTGGCATGTTTAACTCAGTGCTAAATGCTCACCAAATCAGCCCCATTGAATATGATTGATGTCACTGACTTAAATTTACTTGACAAAGAGATCACATGGTCTAAATTTCAGCAATCAAATGCATTTTGGAAGTTGCCCAAGCGATCCAATCACAAACATTTGGGAAAATGGTGTTGTAAAATGTTTACTAATAAACAACTTTGATAATCTAAGTTTAGTCAAATCATGCTTTCCTTCAAACTGTTCCTGAGGACATCAAAGAAAACTAAAAGCAGTAGATATCCAAGAGTTCTTAAACTAGGAACCGTCTTATCACGCTATCAAAGGATCTGTTCTGAGACAATTAAGAAGTTGCCTGAAGGATGAGAGAAATTATTTTGGAACGAAGTCAGAGGCTCGTTAATTACTGGTGTTGCATGATCTGTGGGCCTGTTGTCGACATTGATCTGTAATGTACAACCTGTGGTGGGAATTGGACTTCTCAGGGTAATCAACAAATGGGGCCTGGCTGGAGCATTAATGCTGGCCTCCAGACAGAGGGATGGATGGATGAGAGTCTTTGCTGACCACTGACTCACAACTAGCTGGTCTAGTCTGCCATCTCTGTTTGGTAGAATGCTCACAACTATTGTAAGTTGTGCCACGATGTAATGAGTGGGGATCTGGGATTAATGAACCGCAAAAAACTGGAACAAGGTCAAATTGTCTGCAGTAAGTCCCATGGAACACTGACAAAATTCCTGAATGATAGGCATTGTTTATTAAAAGTGTACAATCTGTCAATACCACCCCCTGTTCAACAAAGTGCATATTCCCAGCAAATTTAATGAACTGTAACAATTAGAATAGTGTGGCCCAAAATATATAGCCTACAGCTCTTCAAAGTAATTATTCTTGTATCGGGCTAAAAAACAGTAACTGCTGATGTCTAAATATACTACAGGATAAAGATGTTGAATGATTCATGTGGCAAATGATCACATCACCTGCAATTAACACTCTCCTCTGTACTACATGTACATTCCCAAAGTGCTGACTCTGAAGTACTGATCAAACTGGCATTTATGCAGATATACATGTTAATAAGCATTATCTATCAGACTGGAATTTATGCTACACTCACTGCAGAGGCTGTCTGCTCACTACTGTCACCACTTCACTAAGCATAATCATCACATTATCAATGGTACTGTAGTTCACCTTCATATCTAGCATACATCACGTCAACAAAGACAGACACTTAACAAAAGTTGTTGCAGCATTGATATTCAAATATCTTAGTCATGAATATCAAACTGTCATGATTTGTACAAAGTATGTGAAGTCATGATAAGGAGAACCATGCCAAAGATCCCTCAGTCAAGCACTTTTACAGTTCACAGAATCAAACATGCCTTTAAATAGAATTTGAGACCTTAGTCAAGACAAGGTCAGTACTGCAAAGAGCAGAATGTTTATGTTGAGTCTAACTAAGCGCTACAAACTACATTGTAATAAACAATTGCAGACGAACTAGTTTTTTCAGCCATAACTAGTTTTTTCAGAAGGGCTGCCTCTTACAGCATACCTCTTGACACCCATATGAAGTGTAAGTTTCATTAGTTCAGCGGTGTCTGAGGTCAAAAACAAGTCATAAAGCTTTTTGACTTTTAGTCAGGTGAGCAAATAACAAATGGTGTGTCTTTATTTTATCATGAACAGTCAAAAATGGGTAAGTCCTGTTCACAGAACTGGAGATTTCTTTTCAATAAACTGGACGGTGTGTCCAAAGATGGCATGGGATAGGTCAATGACACCTTTTTCCATGTATCCAGGTATTGATAAGTGTCCCAAACAAAACAGTAGTACATCATAATGAGCTTTAAAATATTTACATACAAATTCCACAAACTTCTCTCTATTCATTCAGTTGAAAGAAAATAGAACAATGACACTCCCATTATGTTTTACGCTATGTAATGGGCTAATTTTCAGTTGGGCATATCGACATAAAGTAATCCTTATCAGTGTTGACTGAGTGTATTCAGGTCTCTGCTTGGTGACAGGTCGCCAATTGTACAATCAAACATGGAACGTCTACATCAGCAAAGCACTCATAGCTGGACAGACACTCACCTGGAATTGCTTCAAGTAGGACAAGTCAGAGTTCTCATCCAGACTGTCAGTGTGGGTGTCCACACTTACATAGGGGTTCAACTCAGACAGGCGGGAACAGCAGGCCTCGGCTCTGTGGGTGAAAAACAACACTCAGTGAGTGAGTAAATGAGTGAGTGAGTGAGTTTGGTTTTACACCACTTTTAGCAATATTCCAGCAATATCACGTCAGAGAACACCAGAAATGGGCTTAACACATTGTACCCATGTGGGGAATCGAACCCGGGTCTTTGGTGTGTCGAGCGAACGCTTTAACCACTAGGCTACCCCACCGCCCCCTTAATGTACATGAAATCTAGCATTAATATCACAGATATATCATCATGAAACATCCTGAAGAAGCCCATGTTGTACCAGAGACTGCTAATCAGAAACATTTCCCAGATGTAGACCACAAAATAGATGATATTCATGTGTCCAGTGTGAAGCACCTTGCTGCACATCCTCATCATCTTGATGTACACTTGTACAATGTGTCAATCCAGCACCAATAATCACATTATCTGACACAAATATGATAAGTTAAATAACACAACCCAGGCCAGATCACAGTAACTAGGTAACGGCTTCAGTGTGGCCATTATAGGATGTAAGAGCTTTTCCAACATTGATTACTAATTACAGATAATCCGGAGGTCCAACTTGGCCTGATCCAGAGTAAAATAATAGATGTTAGTGGCATCCAAAATAGGCTACAGGTGAGTAATTGTTCTGGCATGACTGTAGGACTACTTAGCAGGAGTATGACTGGCAATCAGGAATTATCACGTTCCAGCCATGTGGTGCTCCCCCATATATCAGAATGTAAATTAGGGATCCACATATCAGTAGCATACAAGCTTTATTATAGATGTAAACAAGGATATAAACCAGATATCACCCATCAGTAGCATACAGGCTGATCACAGATGTAAACCAGAATATAACTCATATCTGGCATCAGTAGCATACAAGCTGATCATCCCCAGGTGATTTAGTTAAAACATACCAACAAATATAATAGAAAAGAATTCTGATTCAGTGATCAGAAAAAATAGTATCTCAAACTACTTTTTTCCCAAGAGAAATATATTCATTGTGTCATTTTAATTTTCTCACTAAAGGTAAAATATTTATAATCATAACTAATGTTATGCAGCAGCACTTTATGTATGGAACAATCTGACCAGTCTCCAAGCTGAAAAAAAGTTGTTTACCTGGATATAAATCAGATATCCACATATCAGTAGCATGCAAGCTGAAATCATATAAACCAGACATCCACAAGCCAGTAGGATGTAAGCTTTTTCATAGATGTAAACCAGGATGTAAATCAGATGGCCACACATAAAGGATGAGAAGTGTTGTATGCCAAAATGCAACAAATCATGAACCAGTTTTTTCTTGAAGGAAATCTTTGCAAATCACTGTGACTTGTAACGAATGTGATCCCAAACATTAAAATTGGGATGTCCTTGTGTCTGTATCAGTGGTGTTGATCACAAAACATGTGATGCCTTATGCATGTGGACTTGTAATGGATATTCTGCATTTTAGTGATAGCTGGATGCAGTATTATGTCTGGTTAAAAGCCCTGCTGGTCATATGTACAGGAAAGCTGAGTTTGAAATTGTCATGGTAGAATATGTGTAAAACCTAAAGTTTAGTCGGACAGTACCTGCATGTTACTTTGATCATTATAAATCATGTCTTGAATATTGCAGAACCCGGATATCAACAATGACCTGGTAAGAACTGTAAGTACAGCAGTCACAAACAGCTTATTTTCATAAAACAAAGCTAAAACAGTAGACTAAGAGGAATGGATGAAGTACTAACTTTTCTGCCAAAATATATCTCACTGTGTAATTTCATGTTGAATTCTAGACAAATGTAAACTTGAGCATGTGCATCTTTCTACACGCTGTCATCAGCATCACACTTAGTCTTCATGTCTGTGCATTTCATCATCAATTATCGCTGTTATTTTACAATTAACTTTCAAAAATCCTGTGAGAAACACAGTAAACTCACCTCCAGATAATAACACACTATTCTTGCTACCTTAATTCCTTTTGCATAAGAGATTGGAAAATTACATTTGAAAAACATGCATATGTTAACTTTATTTTCTGTCATTCACTGAACTGGGACTTAAACATCAATGAACATGGAATCTAGGTGTAAACATGTAAAACCAATTCTAATGTCCAAGTTCCTCGACTCCACATCTGAATTTAAAATGCCTTCGCACCATTACAAACAGATCCCCTTCCTAAAATCAATAGAAAAACGATAACCCCCTGTCTGGAAGAATAATTGATGCAACAAGATGGGTGATGTTCCTCCACAATCCTCATCTTCCACATCATAAAATCAAGTGGCTTTTCTATGCATGCAAATTGGTACTAGCAACCTTGCCAGAGTCAGTTTGCGAACATAAAACGTTTAAACAAGGGTTATTTGAATTTCAGGACTTCCATTTCCTTATGTTTATATGGCTATTTAGGCCAGTAAATAATTTAGGCTAATTTGCAACCCTGCAGTTTTCACACAACATGCACAATGTTAATTTGTTGCAAACACAATTGAAGCAAGAAAAATCAGGTCACAGGAACTTATGGCATAGGCAAATATCACTTGCAAGATGACTGGGAATATCTTTTATTGGATTACCAAGAATATGCTTGACCAGAAGACAGAATATCATTGACTTGGGAAACTGAGAGTATTACACACGAGGGAGATGGAACATATCAGACAGGAGAGAATACTGTCAGCCAGGGAGACAGAGATAATTCTATACTAGGGAACCTCAGAGATGGGACTGTCAGGGAGACTTGGATATCACAGACTGGGGAGACATGGAACATTACTGAGCATGAACTGAGAATTACCATTGATTCTGTGACTGAGAATATCATTATTTGGGAAGTCTGTGAATACCATGGATCAGGGTCACTGAGAAGGTTATTGAGTCAGTGAGTGAGTTTGGTTTTAGACAGCTTTTAGCAATATTCCAGCAATATCAAGGTGGGGGACACACCAGAAATGGGCTTCACATATTTTACGTATGTTAAGAATCAAACATGGGTCTTCAGCTTGACAAGAACCATCACGCTGCCCCACTTCCGAGGTAATTGACCATAAGGACTGAGAAAATCATTGCATGACAGTACCAGGACAAGGAAGACTGACAATGTCATTGACCAGGATGACTAAGAATACCATGGATCAGGATGACTGACAATGTCATTGACCAGGAGGACTGAGAATACCATGGATCAGGATGACTGACAATGTCATTGACCAGGAGGACCGAGAATACCATGGATCAGGATGACTGACAATGTCATTGACCAGGAGGACTGAGAATACCATGGATCAGGGTGACTGACAATGTCATTGACCAGGAGGACCGAGAATACCATGGATCAGGATGACTGACAATGTCATTGACCAGGACTGAGAATACCATGGATCAGGGTGACTGACAATGTCATTGACCAGGAGGACTGAGAATACCATGGATCAGGATGACTGACAATGTCATTGACCAGGAGGACTGAGAATACCATGGATCAGGATGACTGACAATGTCATTGACCAGGAGGACTGAGAATACCATGGATCAGGGATGACTGACAATGTCATTGACCAGGAGGACCGAGAATACCATGGATCAGGATGACTGACTGACAATGTCATTGACCAGGAGGACCCGAGAATACCATGGATCAGGATGACTGACAATGTCATTGACCAGGAGGACTGAGAATACCATGGATCAGGGTGACTGACAATGTCATTGACCAGGACTGAGAATACCATGGAAGGAAGACTGACAATGTCATTGACCAGGAGGACCGAGAATACCATGGATCAGGAGACAATGTCATTGACCAGGAGGACCGAGAATACCCAGGGTGACTGACAATCATTGACCAGGAGGGACCGAGAACTGACAATGTCATTGACCAGGAGGACCGAGAATGATCAGGACTGACAATGTCATTGACCAGGACTGAGATCAGGAAGACTGACAATGTCATTGACCAGGAGGACTGAGAATACCATGGATCAGGGTGACTGACAATGTCATTGACCAGGAGGACTGAGAATACCATGGATCAGGATGACTGACAATGTCATTGACCAGGAGGACTGAGAATACCATGGATCAGGATGACTGACAATGTCATTGACCAGGAGGACTGAGAATACCATGGATCAGGATGACTGACAATGTCATTGACCAGGAGGACCGAGAATACCATGGATCAGGATGACTGACAATGTCATTGACCAGGAGGACTGAGAATACCATGGATCAGGGTGACTGACAATGTCATTGACCAGGAGGACTGAGAATACCATGGATCAGGGTGACTGACAATGTCATTGACCAGGAGGACCGAGAATACCATGGATCAGGGTGACTGACAATGTCATTGACCAGGAGGACCGAGAATACCATGGATCAGGGTGACTGACAATGTCATTGACCAGGAGGACCGAAATACCATGGATCAGGTCATTGACCACTGACAATGTCATTGACCAGGACTGAGAATACCATGGATCAGGATGACTGACAATGTCATTGACCAGGAGGACTGAGAATACCATGGATCAGGATGACTGACAATGTCATTGACCAGGAGGACTGAGAATACCATGGATCAGGGTGACTGACAATGTCATTGACCAGGAGGACCGAGAATACCATGGATCAGGGTGACTGACAATGTCATTGACCAGGAGGACTGAGAATACCATGGATCAGGGTGACTGACAATGTCATTGACCAGGAGGACTGAGAATACCATGGGCTAGGATTACTGAGGTCACTTACAATTTCCATAACAACAATTTCTATATCTCCTATGAGACTGTGATGTATCAATTTGTTTTGAACTTATCATCTTATCATGCATCAAATATCCCCTTTATCCTAGATATTCCTCAAAACAGACAATAAAACATTGTTGTGGCCAGGGAAATACTTATCCAAGTTAGACCAAGCATGAACAATATTAACCTCACATATAAAGCTTGAGAAATATTTGGTAACATATACCAAGAACCTGCGAT